AATAATGGTCTTGTTCTCAACGTGATACGTGCCCGAATCAGGACCCAGAAGTTCCTGGTCACGTGGCTCTTTGTCACCCTCCATCGATCATGTTATGTGTATTTCTTTCTTCTTTTCTTTTCATTTTACCTCCTTTTATTGAATACACAATGATACGATTTTCAGTAAGGGGGAAGCGGCCTATCAAAGGGCTGCCAGACAACACACAAATGAGGAAAGTCAGGCGGTAGTGGTGGGATTCAAACACACATCCTCGGGGTGATAATTTGGTGACGTTACCACCGGGCCACCACCACCCGGTATTATGGATTTATTAATCTCATATTCACTCTTTTCCTCGTGTCGTGCGATATTTTGGGGTGTTTTCAAGTGTTTTTCTAACGTTAATTCGATGAAAATCGTGTAAACGAGATCCGTACGAACGTGGGTAATTTTGCTATGAATTCTACTTAACTATCCTATGCGGGTTATGAACATGTTTCACTGGCATAATTATCTTTTTATTGGTCTATCCATTTCCAACCAAATTAATATACTGTCAAAAATTAATCATGTACAACACTTATGATTGAGAGCACGCGAAATCGATGGCCAATATCAATTCTGCTCATATTGTGTTACTTACTTTATTCAATTGGATCAGAAGGAAAGAATGTTTCCAATACTTATGAAATAATTAAACCCTCCCGAGAGATTCTTAGAAGGCATCAAAAAAACCCACACTTTTTACATTTATACCATTCAAACATTGATCGATATAAAAAATAATAGTGAATAAGCATAACTAGGTAAATTTATGATTTTTTCATGACTCACCGCCGTAGCATGCGTCTTATTCACATCGTGGTATGTCCATTTTCGGCTGCAACCTCCTTATCGGCGCTTCGTGACACACTTTCAACCGATCGATTTCTGAACATTAAACTGATCTCATTCCACATTCTGGTCAAAGCACTTTTTTAATCTGTTCAGGCTATTTACTACTCCGTCTTCAACCTAGCAACTCAACTAATCTCTCTCTCTGTCACACACACACACGCACACACACACGTGTTCTCATTTGGGTTCAGGTCAGGTGTGCGTATTGACCATTTGTGTAACCCAGTACTTGTTTTGAGTGCATGGACAAGTTTCACTCAATCGGGAGCGATATTGAAGTTTTGTGTTTAGCCCTTCCCCACCGATGCTCTGACCAGCAGTGCTTAGGCGATCGGAGCACTGTCTTCGGCATTGTATGCTCTTTCCAGTAACAACCTTGTGATATCCCGTATAAGCCAATAAGTACGCAAGCGGTGAATTCAGTAGTTATTCTATTTTCAGTGTGTAAATGTAAACGTAGCCGATCTGTGGGTCGGTGAGTAGGCAGTGCGTCAACACGCACGCAGGCAGGCACAAACTGCGCAAGCGCTACCAAAGGAGTATTTTGTCACGCTGGGCAGTCAACGAACCAATCAATATGGAAAGGTCAATAATGACCTCTGATTGACTGAGGCGAATCGACCTTGTAACAGAGTAAGTCCGCATGACGTGCGCACGTGCGTGAGTGTGGTGGCACGCCGCAACGGTCAATCACGTGATGTGCAGTAAACATTACAATGAACAGTAGGCCACATCAAACCGAAACCTGTGCCCTCCGTCACCTTGATCAGTGATTCCTCGTACATTACATTACACGTTTGCGCATTTTTTCCACGACGCCTTCAAATATACCACCGGTTCTTCGTTCATTTCCAACGGTGCGACTCCATTCTGGACAGCGCTATAAGCAACATCTTATTTTCCATTCATATCTGGCTTTGGTCAGCGATCCGATCGGATAAGGTTCCTAACTCTGTTGAAGGAACCGGCATACCAGTCTGACAGTTGTCCGGTATTTGACCAGGCTTATCAAAGCTGAAGCACATTATTCTTCGATTGACTTCTGAGAACTGAAAGCAGCAACAACTGTGGCAAGGTATAAGACTTATCTGTGGAAAAAAAGTGCGGTTGAAGCTGGATGTTGATGATCTCAATGCCGCATTTCTGTGCCAATCATCGAACGTTCTTCCTGCCTGCTCATCACACAAGGTTTGTAATGCGGAATCATTTCCAAATTTTGATTTGTTAAACCATTGAAACAGTTGCAATTCCTCTTCTACTGCAGGCCCAGATGATTTACATCCAGCCCTCTTCAATTTTGGTGCTGCTCCCCTAGCTAGGGCAATCAACTCCATCGTGAATGAATCCCTCAACACTTCTACTATCCCCAACTGTTTTAGGCCAGTCACAATCATGCCAATCCCAAAACAATCTAAATCTTCTATCTTCTCCAAACGTTTTCGCTCACAAGCTTAATAGATCCACTTTAGAGGCAGTCTCCACCCTTATTCATTTAATCACTGTGTTTAAACAACTCTTTTACGTCTGTTAGGTGTGTTTTTCTTGACTACTACTCTTCGGCATTTGAGTCCATTCCTCGATCAAAGAACTGGAATTTTTTAAATGTGTTTTTAAAAGTGTTAGCCTGGCTATCCAACTACTCTAATGATACAGAACAAACCACTAGATTGGGGAAAGCTTCATCTAAATCCTTAGTCAATAACTCCGGAGCTCTTCAAGGAGCTGCGCTATCCCCATACTTTTTTCCACTTATATTTGTGATATACCTTGTGTTTCTCCCGCACGTGTTTTGAAATAAACAGATAACATCGTGCTATGTTAATCCATTTGTTCTTACTATAATCTAAGCTACTTCACTGACAATACTGGTGGTGGTGGCCCGGTGGTAATGGTAGCAGATTGCCACCCCGGTGGGGACGTGTGTTCGAATCTCAACATCACCCTCTGGCTTTCACCATTCCATGTTGCATGGAAGCCCTGTGATTGGTCGCTTCGCACTTTCCTGAAAATTGTATCATTATATGTACTCAATTAAAGAAAGTAAAGGGGAAAAAGAAAAGAAAAACAGAAACGAAAAGGGAATGACGGATGGTGGTCTGCAATCTCGTTTTAACCGACACAGCTGCCCTCGGTCATCCTCGTTTCTACTTCCTCTAAACCAAGCGATTCATCACACGAACGCCCCTAACTTTTATTTATTTATCAGCCAAGTGGTTTGATCCGGATCGAGATGGAAAGGCTGAAGCTTGTCGACGCCTCATAGTACAATTCTGGGAGATGGTGCTCAGTCGTGAGCATAAACGGGAGAAATATGTGGATTCAACTATCGGCCAACCCAGTTAGACTAGCTTTATTGATAGAAGTCGGTCACGTGATTCGGAAACTGTCGACATCGA